GAAAGCAGTAACACAATATTTTCCTCAAACACTTTTATCAACCTTACAATTTCTCAACCTTCACACAGGTACTTTAAGATAAAAGAACCCGCATCAGTTTAAACTATACAAAACCCGTTTAATGTAGGACAATAACAGTAGTAAAATAACTAAATAACTAGCACCTATTATAATTAACGAATGTATGTTGATTGCGATTAATTTCACTCACAATATTTTGATGATTAAATTAGATGAAGACTGGAAATTACGTAGACTTCATAAACATTGATTACTATGATGAAATTGTTTAATTGAGCATCGGAAATAGTAATACAGTAATTATTATAATATAATTGATATTCTATGATATCTAATAACATATGAACAATTAGAATTTCTTTATTAAAAACTGGATTCGCCTTCGTAACTTCGCCCGCGGTCCTGTAGAATAAAATTGTATGTGTGTATTTATATTCCAGGCTACTATCTATATATATCTATCCGTGTTCCAAATTTAATCTCGATCACTTCAAGTGTTTTGACATGAACAAATCTATATATATATATATAAATGAAACCCGTTTTCCGTTGTCACGGCATCACGCGTGAATGGCTGGACCGATTTCACTAATTCTTTTTTGTTGTATTTGTTATTATTAGGAGAAAGTTCTTATGACAGAAAAGTCCTAAAAATCCTACAGGAGAAAACGGGCTTGCGCGGACGAAGTCGCGGGCAGAAGCTAGTAATAAATAAATATACAATTTATAATATTAGTAAGATTGATAGGTTACAAAATCAGTCAGTCAGTGCCATTGTATTTCCCTCGCGTATATAATTTTTGTTAAACGTCATTCTTACTATGCAACATAATAAGACAGCTAGTCACAAGTTATTCGCAAAATGTCTACCTACTCTACTTACCCAGTTATGGATCATAAATCTAACATTTTTTAGAAACAAATTCCTCTTCATTACTCTAAAATTCCGTGTCAATTTGCTAACTAAATAATTGTGCAAATATTATGACAAAACTATCCAAATACCACTTGTCAGTTGTGTCAACGAAACCAGTATAACAAGATCTTTAAGTCATTCATAAAATTAACTAAGTAAGATTAAGTTAGGGTTCATTATGTGGTGGTTATCATCTTCCATTGTCACATTACGGCACACATTTGTGGCTAGTCTGTCTAGCTTTCACAAGTTCTTACTTAAGCGTTCTACTTTAAATTGGAGGAACAAGCTACAGTTGTTAACTATACTATTGTCCCCTAGGTGTGTAAATTAGAATTACTTAATACGCACTTAACTGAGCATTGTTTGTGCCTCCATAAAGTTAAGCAACATGACTTTGTTGTTAGGAGGTTAGAGTCTACTTTGACTTGTTATAAAATGTTTGTAGGATAGTCTTGTATTGTGTTCGATATTTTTTTATAATAACATTCTATGACATTCTATTGGTTGAGTTTAAGATTCAGCAAAGTATTTTAATTCATATAGGTAACATAACCTGCAAAAATTATTATAACAAAGTTATAAAAACCGCTACTGTAAAATAAAACAACAAAGTTAAACAAAACATACCTGTAGGTAGGTTTAAAACAAAACAAGTTCAAGAGACAAAAGTAGCTAAAAATTCTTTACTAAAGTTTTAATTTCTCAAGTACGGATTCAGTTCCCAGCGTGCCCTTCCCAGTTCAACTGTCACGCCAGCGAATCACGCTGCCAATGGCACATGACCGCACAAGTACAGGGACGTACTTAGTAGCAATTGTTATGGGCCCCATGCATAAAAGGGGTCCTATGTAACCAAACCTTCGCCTCAGAAAAAGAGAAAGTTTATCATGGATGGTTTATCCGCTAAACCATTATTGACTGAGGCTGGAATTGATGATTCATGGTATATGGCAATATTAGATGGTGCTTGTAGAATATTACCGAGCAAAAATTTGATGTTACAATAAACAATTTACACCATTCGGGAAATGAAAAGTGTGGATGCTATGTTATAGACATCAGACCGAAGGCCCCTCAACAACTTGTTACAGGCCCCACGCTCAATCCGGCCCTGCACAGATGTATTTTGCGTGCCCAATCTTGATGCACGTGACTGTATTTACGTGTAACCGCATCTCTCACTAACCATCTCATGAAGATCACAATCAACATGGATCCTTTGTTAACTACTGTAAATACACTGTCGAACCTACATGATTGTTTTTGTGCGTTTTAGTACACTGGCTTGTTAACTCAACTAGCAGTTTTTGATGATAAAAGTTATTTCAGCTATTATTTTTAACGTACTACATGCCTATATTTAACTTTACGTACATACCTAAATTGACGACTTTGTCGCAAATATATCTTATCTACCTCTAAATAATTAGGGCTACGTGACATTTGCGTTCGACGTTGTATCTACTTCCCTAATCACAGAAAACAGCTTTTAAATTTAAACTAATACTACTTCTTCAAAGTTTTAGATCATCGTAAAAACCATTTCTATAATGATTATTGACTTTTGAGCAAGCAAAACAGATGTGCTTTTTAACGTCTCATGTTCATACACAATATAGTAATTATAGACAATCATCGTTCATGCTTGTGGTTTCAGTTTTTTGATGATCATTTGGAAAGTCATTAAACAAGCAAATATTTTGTGCGCGTCATTGGCGATCTAATGTCAACACTTGAAGTTTGTACTCAAGCAGAGAATCAGTAAATATTGGCTGAAACCGTGTCGATTCCGAATGAGGACAATATCGCAATTAGTTTAGCTTTGAAGATAAATATGAACAGTAGAGTATTTACCGAGTAACATATTACATTTTATGTTCTTTCTAGGACTTTGTAACGTTTATATGCAAGAATTTAAGTCCGTTTCTGCTACTTCATGGATTCAACATCAAAATACAAGATTGTCAGTCACTTTAATCGACGACACGAACTAAGTCATTCATTCTCACTACAAACCATTAAATATTTTAAATCAAACAAAACAACACAAAGTATAGTATAGTTCCACAAAATATAACTAATCTAACAAAGGTCGGTTGCGCAAGCGCAGAGGATGCAACGTGTGCGCGATAGCGATCTATGAATTAGCGCATCATAGTGTGGCATCCTCGGGGCGCTATCTATGACGTGTGCTTCCTACACACTTATTGTTGAAGCACACCGTTAAAACTACTCAGATATTGTTCGCAATTTATTCCACACCTGCGTTATTTTATGGGAAAATTACTTCACACCTCGTGAATTTGTTAACACTTCGTCTGGCAACACTTTATCTCGTCGACCCAATTTACAAAGTAGAGTCACAGCTTGAAATGTACCCAGACAGACACTATCGTGATTCCACTCTCCATCAAGCGAATTTACCAACTTGCACCTATCAGTATCTAGCTTAGATCGTAAGAAAATATTGCGAATATAATCTAAATTACGATTTCTGTCTCAATGCAAGTAATTACAAAACACATTAGCACATCGCTTGGATTATCTAGTAAACTTCCTACACGGTGCGCCTGCGCGGGTCACACGCTCTGAATACAGCGTCGCAGTTAGAACTGCGTACGCGCAATCTCACTAATATTTACACCTTTACTTTCATTAGCTCACACGAAACACCGTGGTACAGAAGATACAATAAACTTTATAACTATGTATTATCTACGACGGATCGACATTATTAATATTTTTGGCGATGTTTTAAAATCCATATAACCAAACCTTGATTTTGAAGGTAATTTGCAAAAAAATATGTCAAGTATTTGACACAGGATACTCAATAACATTTAAGTAAATACACGAAATTGGAAGGCCCCTTGTGTTACAGTACAGTTTATTGTAAAAACTGTATTTGAAGCCATTCATCTAAGTATTTTATCACAGCACATTCAGGACTTGCCTTCTGTCATTTATTCTCTGGTCTATAATCACCAGTTGCCAACCACAGCTACTACTCGAAGGTGTGAATCACCGTCCATCAGATAAGCTGACTCTTTGTGATGCGGAAATGGCCACACAATTGATTTTGTAAAGTATTTTAACATTAAGATTGTATCTAAACTATCGCCTGTACAAAAGATTGTTAGTAGTTGAAATAAATCTGTTCTGATAACAGATATGTATCCATTGCCGTTTAGAAACGTACCAAGAACTAATGCATCGCAAATTCTACTGATAAATCTTTCTTTAGACAGTTATTAACAGGGTTATTGACTTTTTATGATTCCAATAAAGACGAAAATCACAAAATCCGTCTTTTGAATCAGCTATTTGTAGACTAAGTTACATAAACCAAAACGTATTATGCTTGACTTTTCTTAAAATATTTTTTACACACCAATAATAATTTACTGTTTGTCAAATAATAACAAAAATTAAAACATATCCGTCGGTCCTTTAGTAAAGCTATTTACTCTACTAGTATAAAAGTATTTGTTGTTCAAAGATTCCTCAGTGATCCAACTTCTTTTAAGCGAGCACTTAAAGCCTGCACTTTTTATAACAATGTAATGCTATTTACCATAAGTTAGTGCCTACTTATGTAAGTCCCAAGGTCGGTATGTGACCAGGGCGCGGCAGTGCTGTGACACGGGGCTGCGCTACCGACAACCTTGCTATCTGATGCACATCGGATAGCAGGCCAAGGGGTCACATACCTAGGTATACCTAGTACCACATTTACTATAATGAAGGAATTTCATAATTACCGCAAAATTGTTATGTAACGACATCTTAAAGTTGATAACATATCTTCAAAATAATCTTGTCTCCAAAATGTGTTTTCATTATGTTGTTAATGTAATCAATCCGTAATGTATCAGGGATGTTTGTGCTTTTCCGTACTGATGGTTTCAATGCTGTATTCCTAAGAACTCAATTATATTCTAATGATATCCCGAAAGTATACGAAACCGGATCTTTTCCCTTGTCATTTTATAGATAGTACTCTAGTTACCTATCTACACTTATTATGACAAATCTTAATGTAATTTTTATTTTGTTACAGCGCTCCTCAAACGCGACAGGTCGTGGCAAGCGGTTCACATTCCAGTCCACGGTGCGACAGCTGGAGAGACGGCGGCTGGCTGAGAAGCTGTCCAAGGAGGCTGACCTCAAGGAACAACAGAGAAGAACCGAGCTGGAGGCCATGAGGAGGTACCGTACATTACTTAGATAGCAGTTATGCATCCTATGCCTATAGCATTTAAAAAGTCGCCAAAAACGAATGCATCGCAAATTCTATTGATAAAATGTTTCATCAGCAGTCATTTCCTGTTATTAACAGAGTTACTGGCATTATAAATATCGTTATTTTAGTAAGTTACATTAAAAGATAGTGTAATGTCATTAAACATGAACTCCTATCTCTTCAGAGTTGAGGAAGAGTTCCAGAGGAAGCGTGCGAGAGAGAAGGCGAATATTCGGCAACAGTTGCGACTGGTCAGCAGCGGCGCCAACAGCATGCCCACACACACCACACATCACACCAAGGTAACATTATACAATTATAACACTAAATACACAGATATTTGAAAATGTGTCTTTAACATGACCTTTAACAATTTCGTCAAAATTCAAGTTTCCAGTCTCATCGGATAAGTTCTATGATTTAATAATCAATGCAGAAATATTTTTGGAATCAAATTAGCTAAGAGAATTCAGAACTGCAGTCTAGCAGTAATACAACTAAACAGCAATATATTTTACTAACTAGATAGTGAATAGTTCAAAAAATATACCAATTTAGCAGCATCAAAGTGCAAAACCAGCTATAAATTCCATGCCTGTATTTGGTTAATCGTAGAAAAAATACAAACATACGTAGGCATGTAAGTATTATACAAACATTGACTCTTGATTAATTGAAATCGTCATCGGAACTTAATGAGGCGCTTTGGGAGTCATCAATCATTGGTGTCACTCGTCCTTCCTCGCGCCTTGAACCAAGGTGACATCGAGCGCCAATTTAGAATACCAACATACCGGGCGATATAATATGCTGTAATTACATAGCATAATACATAAAAAAACAGTTATATTATAAATAACACAACATAACATCACTCCTTTTATCCCCGAAGGGGTAGGCAGAGGTAGACATTATACCACTGAACAATGTAACACCCACTTTCCACAATTAATGTTATGAGTCCCATGTAATAGGGTATATTATACATTATACGGTATA